TGAACCACGCGTGTCGACAGTGGTCGACCCTGCCCAATGTCTAGCCATGCGTGTGCCAACAGCGAACCAGATGCGAACCATCCCAGGACCATCCTGGAACCACCCTCGAACCACACGTGAACCACATTTGAACCACGCGTGCCACCAGTGGCTCACCCTGCCCAATGCCCAAACCAGGCATGCGCCATCCACGGACCAGATGCGAACCACCCCAAAACCACCCTGGAACCATCCTGGAACCACGCGTGAACCACTTTTGAACCAAGCGTGTCGACAGCGTCCCATCTTGCCCAATGCCCAAACCATGCATGTGACCCCCCGCGAACCAGGTGCGAACCACACCAGGACCAGCCTAGAACCATCCTAGAACCACGCGTGAACCACTTTTGAACCACGCGTGCCACCAATGACCCTCCAGGCCCCTCTTCCGAACCACGCACGTGCCACTGTGCCACCCGCGAACCAGATGCGAACCACCCCAGAACCACCCTAGAACCATCCTCGAACCACCCGTGAACCATGTTTGAACCACGCGTGTCACCATTGGCCCGCCCGAGCCAACTCCCGAACAACCCGTGTGCCATCCCCGAACCAGATGCGAACCACCCCAAAACCATACTGGAACCATCCTGGAACCACGCGTGAACCACTTTTGAACCAAGCGTGTCGACAGCGGCTGCCCACTGCCCAGGCCCAGGCCGCGCGCGCAACCCACGAACCAGGCGCGAACCACCCCAAAACCATCCTGAAACCACCCCCGAACCACACGTGAACCACATTTGAACCACGCGGGCCACCAGTGGCCCGCCCGAGCCAGCTCCCGAACCAAGCATGTGCCATCCACGAACCAGATGCGAACCAACCCAGCACCACCATGGAACCATCCTAGAACCACGCGCGAACCATGTTTGAACCACGCGTGCCGACAGCGTCCCATCTTGCTCAATGCCCAAACCATGCATGTGACCCCCCGCGAACCAGATGCGAACCACCCCAGGGCCAGCCTAGAACCATCCTAGAACCACGCGTGAACCACTTTTGAACCACGCGTACCACCAGTGACCCTTCCAGCACCAACTCCCGAACCATACGCCTGCCACCCCCGAACCAGGCGCGAACCACCCCAAAACCATCCTGGAACCACCCCCGAACCACACGTGAACCACATTTGAACCACGCGGTCCATCAGTGGCCCACCTTGCCCAATGCCCAAACCAAGCATGTGCCATCCACGAACCAGATGCGAACCACCCCAGAACCACCCTGGAACCATCCTGGAACTACCCGTGAACCATGTTTGAACCACACGTGCCGACAGTGCCCCATCTTGCCCAATGCCCAAACCAAGCATGTGACCCCCCGCGAACCAGATGCGAACCACCCCAGGACCAGCCTAGAACCATCCTAGAACCACGCGTGAACCACTTTTGAACCACGCGTGCCACCAGCGACCCTCCAGAACCAGCTCCCGAACCATACACCTGCCATCTCCGAACCAGATGCGAACCACAACAAAACCACACTGGAACCACCCTCGAACCACACGTGAACCACATTTGAACCACGCCTGTCGACACTGACCCACCACGTCCGATGCCCTAACCATGCACGCGCAACCCGCAAACCAGATGCGAACCACCCCGAAACCACCCTGGAACCATCCTGGAACCACGCGTGAACCACTTTTGAACCACGCGTGTCGGCAGTGGTCCACCTTGCCAAATGCCCAAACCATGCATGTGACCCCCCGCGAACCAGGTGCGAACCACACCAGGACCATCCTGGAACCACCCTGGAACCACGCGTGAACCACTTTTGAACCACGCGTGCCACCAATGGCCCGCCCGACCCAACTTCCGAACCATCCATGCACCCTCCGCGAACCAGCTGCGGACCACCCCGCAACCATCCTGGAACCATACAGGAACCACGCGTGCACCATGTGTGAGCCACCCATTCCACCCGTGGTCCATCCTGCCCAGCTCGCTCAGCATCTGCGCGCCGCCCAGGAAAAGAACGCGCACCGAACCGACCCAGCATGGCCAAGTACCGCACGCAGCGCGACCCTTGCGCCTTCGGCAGACACGGTGCACAGTGCCCGAAACCACATCAAAGACGAAGGATCCTGCAATCACAAAGTGCACAGCTCCAGCCATAGTGCGTTTCGCAAGCGTTGCATTGTAACGCAAGTCTGGTACCCGTATGCGCCCTTGCATTCGAGAGCCGAATGATGGAAACCAAGAATTACACTCGTATCTTGAGGGCCTCAACATGGAGTTCTATCGTGTGAAGCAATGAGCCCCTGATCGCGAGCGCGCGCGTACGCGCGCGCACGGGCGCTCTGGCGAGCGCGATACAACAACCCATGCAGAAGCACCATCTTAACTTCAAAAACTGAATGGTGAAAACCAATTGTTTCACTCATATTCTGAGGGCCTCAACATGGAATCCTGCATAGAGAACCAAGTCGCTTCCATCGTCGGGCGCGCGGCGCGCGCGCGCGCGCGCGCCCTGGCGCGCGCAATGCAACCGCCAATACAGAAAGCACCGTCTTAAATTCGAAAACTGAATGGTGAAAACCAATTGTTTCACTCGTATTCTGTGTGCCTCGACGTGGATTTGTACATTGCTAACCAATGCGCGCGCCTTATCGCGCGCGCGATAAGGTGCGCACATTGCTTAGCAATGTAAAAGTTCACGTCGAGGCACCCAGAATACGAGTGAAACAATTGGTTTTCACCATTCAGTTTTCGAATTTAAGACGGGTTTTGTTGCATTGGCGGTTGCATTGCGCGCGCGCGCGCGCGCCGCGCGCCCGACGATGGAAGCGACTTGTTTCACGATGCAGAATTCCATGTTGAGGCCCTCAGAATACGAGTGAAACAATTGGTTTTCACCATTCAGTTTTTGAAATTAAGATGGGGCTTCTGTATTGGTTGTTGTATTGCGCGCGCCAGAGCGCGCGCGCGTGCGCGCGCACGCGCGTGCGCGCGCTCGCGATAAAGGAAGCGAATTGTTCCGCGGTGCAGAATTCCGCGTTGGAGCCCTCAGACTACGAGTGGAACAATTGGTTTTCACCATTCAGTTTTCGAACTTAAGATGGGCATGGTGTGATGTTTGCTGTGTTGCGGGTGCCAGAGCGCGCGCGCGTGCGCGCGATTAAGAACGCCGATTGTTTCACACTATAGAATTCCATGCTTGGGCCTCAGAATACGAAAGAAATAGTTGGTTTTCACCATTCTGTTTTCGAAATCAAGACGGGCACTCGTCAATGGTTTCTGCGCTGCGCGCGCGCGCGCCAGAGCACCCGCGCGCGCTTGCGCGCGCGGGCGATAAGGGAAGTCGATTGTTGCACAAGGTAGAACTCCACGCTGAGGCCCTTGGAATACGAGTGAAACGATGGGTTGTCACCACGCAGTTTTCGGGGCCGCGGCGCGCGCGTGGGTGGCGCTGACTGTCGCGCTCGAGAAAAAAACATAAAAAACACGCAGCTTTCCGCGCACTCGCGCCGCCGCGCGCGCGGCGGCCCGCGTTCGTTGAAAGCCCTGTGCCGTCCACTCTGAAAGAATCGCCATGTTGGTCGGGGAATCCGAATGAAACCCTTAACGGTGACCGACGAACGCGCGCGGGTGACGCGCGTCACCCGCGCGCGCGTGGGGAGTTCTGTGTTGTCCTCGCGAAAGAAGTCGCCATGCGGACCTGGACACTAAAGTGACCCCGTAACGGTAACCGATCGGATTTCCACGTTAACATGTGTTCGGGCCTGTGTTTTCTGACACTGACAATACAGCCGCCCCCACGCACGCGCGACGCCCCGCGCGCGCAAGGGGAGTTCTGCGTTGTCCACGCGCGGGCGGGCGCACGAAGGCGCGAGTTCGCGCGCGCGCACGCCTGCGTAGCGAATGGCGCACTATCAACATGAAAAACAATACACTAATGGTTTGGAGGCTCACATGCACGCGTGGCGCGCTCCACTCAAACCACCCCCTTTTATCTTCAGTTTCCACGCTCTCAGGGTGGCAGAATACACCAGTGCTGCATCGCACCCGTCGCGCGGGCCATGGGCCCGCGCGAGGGGCGCGAGGTGGCACCGATGTCGGTCACGCGAGAAAAGAAATCCACGCCACAACGTAAAATACATCACCTCCCCCAAAACCGCAGTCCACCTAAACGTGCATACTGTGAACACGCTGTGCTCTTCTCGAAACCGAATGCACCCCCCCCAGTGCGCTCCAGTGAACATGAAAGTAGTTGGGCAGCACTTAATATTACGAGTTCTTTAGGGAAGTCCAAACAGTATTGTGCAGCTTCGGATGTGCGCGCTGTCGGCTCGACGGCTCTTTTGCGTCATGCGGGTCGCCCCCGCGTCCGTTCCGGTGCCCGACTCAATCTGCGGCGACTCCAGATTTCTCGGTGCTATCCGACTGTCCGAGCTTGCCCCTACGGATCGGTTTGTGCACTTATGGGTGACACCAGAGATACGCTGAAAAGGGGGAGGAGGGAGGAAACGAGTAAATTCGAGGAAGGCAAGGGGGAATGGAATACCGAAAGAATTAAGAGGACAACGGCTACAGGAGGACCGCGGAACACGATGAGGACGAAGACGGGATGGGAGAGGAGGAGGGAAGGAGGTGTGGAGCAGGAGGAGGGGCGGCAAACACAAGCATGATAAGAGGGAGGACCCACGAGGAGGGGATAACCGTGGCACTAACCTTGACACGTGCATTATGTTGCTTCTAACTTCGAGATCGGATGGCGCGGCTTGTGGCCGGCCTGGGAATGAATTCTTGCAAGTTTGTGTTCCAGTGCGTCCAAGGCTTCAATGTACCACATGTTTGTTCTATCCTCGTAGCCGTCGTGGCTGAATTTGAATCAGTGGTCCTGGAGGATTCCACGTGTTTCTTCTCCGCATTTTGCTCTCGACCACTCGAGCAGGAACGATGGACTGTGAGTTTGAATCCTTTGGCGAAGTTGGCTCTTCTTTTTCTGCACGGACATCAATGTCTAGGAGGACGTCGCAGGAGATAATCGGGAAAGAGATCTCGTGCCACCTCTGCGAGTCCACGGAGCCGTGCTACAAGGTAGCCTGGGGCGTGATGTTCGGCCAGGCGTGCTTCGCCAAAGTTCGTGCCAACCACCGCCGCCTGCAGCAGATGCCCCACGGGAAGCAGGACGTCGTGGACGACAAAAAGCAGATGATCGAGGATCCTGGCACCTGGCGCAGGCAAGAGTTCTTCAGATCTGACGAGCACAGGGCGCAACAGAAGGCGCTGGCCCGCGTCACCGCGAACTTCACCGAGCAGACGAAGATCCACCAGACCGTGGACGTGCAGGACGACGTCGGCGTGACAAAGAGGAAGTACAAGCAGCTCAGGACACGAGGGTCTCAACATGCACAGGGCCACACATGCATCCACCCCATGCCGTTCCAATACGTCCCGACTCCACTTGTGGAATGACATGGGTGTTGATGCATATGGGGCACGTGCATGTTAAGACACTCGTGGAGGAGGGAGGAGTCTGACAACGATCTTGACTCAGCTGAGCTCTCGGATGACTTCGACGAGCTGCACGATCGCCAAGTGGTCGAGGACGCTCACGACATGACGGACACCTGCAACCGCAAGCTGGTCTGGGTGAAAGATTGCCCCCGTCACCGCCGACTCTCGGGCCACCAGACTTTGGAAGGGGCCAGGCGCGGTGGCGGTGGCGACGTCGGCGGTGGTCTGTCTTCGTCCTGTGGCACAGAGCGCACTCGTGGGCGGACGGAGCCTGCGGGCGACGATGTGCATGACCGCGACCCGCCTGGCAAGAAGCTCAAGGGCAGCAAGAGTGGTGCTGCTGGTGCTGCGCTTCCAGACGACGGCGAGGGGAAGACCGAGGGCGTCAAGTTCCTCGAGCAGCGCCAGTCCCTCGTCCAGACCTTGACGGCCATGGCAGCTCAGCTCGGGAGCTCCAAGGTGGGGAGGATCCAATCGCACCTCCATCTGGAGACATTCCTCAAACTCCTCCTCCACCTCCTCCCCTTCCCTCTCGCCCACTCCGCCTCCACCTCCTGGCCCTCCCGAGGCCCACTCCGCCTCCACCTCCTAGCCCTCCTCCTACTCCTCCTTGCGCTCCTCGCGGTTGGATCCACCCCGAAGGGGGTGAAGTCCAGCGTGCAGGGGATGGTCATCGAGATCCAGAAGAAGAACATCGACGGCGACCTGCTCCCTTTGCAGCCCGCGGCCTTGGAGGGGGACATCAGCACGGCCCTCGATGATATCAAGAAGCAGCTGGACAACGCCAAAAAGGTCAAGCCTCACGAGATCAGTGGGTGCATGGACAGCGTGGCGGCGCTGCAGGCACAGCTGAAAGACCTCACCAAGAGGAGGGACGAGCTCAGGTCGGCCGTGAACTTCTGCGTGAAGGAGGTCCGCGATAAGGAGCGCGCGGACGGTCAGAAGGTTTACTGGGCCAAGTACTCCATCGAGAAGCGCCTGATCAACGGTGGCTTCGGCAAGCTGCACGGCAAGAAGTTGAGCCAGGTGATCTACGCGCTGCAGGGCGCCGGGGGTGACGCCGTCGCCCAATACCCTGGGATTGAGGACGACGGCCGCCAGACCTTCATGTCGTTGGAGATCGGGAAGCCGCAGGGGGAAGTCGACTTGGAGAAGTTCGGATTTTGGCCCACTGGGCACGAGACCATCGCAGAGCTCGCCAAGATCTACGGCGACAGCCAGGTGGTCAAAGACAAGATTGCAGCGATGCAGGCTGCGCTGACCAGCAATCCATCGTGGGCAGGGGCCGTCGTGAACATCGAGGGGCTGACTGACGCCGAGGAGCTCAAACGCATCTTCGGCCAGGTCGGCACAGGAGACGGGTGCGAGCCCTGGCTGCTCTCAGGCCGCATGGGCTGCTGCCGTCATGGGCCCTCCGCCTTCGCGCTGCCGGGCGTCGCGTCCATGGTCTATACAACAGAGAAGCCGGTTCATTTCCAGTTGTCCGAGGTTGGCCCCATCCTCAAGAAAGGCTTCTGCATCAAGGAGTATGCGAAGTACTTGGAGTCAAGTGATGGCCAGAGTTTCCTCGATGCGAATGCGTGGACGGTTCGCCTGCAGCCCTTCTCGTTCTTCTACATGCCTGACGGTTTCATTGTGCTGTGGGTGTACTACGCAGATGATAGGAAGGACTCCATGCCAGATGGCGGCGCCGAGCCCAAACCGACAGGCAAGAAGGCCAAAGCAAAAGTCAAGGCTTCCGACAAAGCCGCCGACGCTGCCTTTCTCGTCTCGGTGCCTGTGTTCACGGACGCGTCCAAGCAGCTCCAGCCAAAGGTTCGCAAGGCCATTCACTCGTACAACATGGAGGTGATCAAGAGCAAGGGCAAGGATCCCAAGTGGGAGAACCGCGGCATGAAGCTGGACGAGTACTTCAAAGATGCATCGTGAGATTGAGTAAAAAAATGGTTGAGAGATCCCGACTGCTGCCGCTGCCACCCTGGCCGCCAGACCCGCCATTTTTGTGTTGAACGATGCCCCTGGATGTGTGTTTGCTGTGCGACGGCATGGCAGAGTAGGAGTCCCGTGGCAGGTTGATCGTACTGTGCAAGTTGCTGCTCATACGTGATGGAAACCAGCTGGTTACTTCTGAACGTTGATTTCGGATCGACTGAAAATCGAGTTTCAGGCCGCCTGAGAAATGAGTTGTGGTCCGAACCAATTGCGAGTCACGGTGGCACGAAGCTTATCGAACACATTCCCAAATAAACGACACACTTGAATACACGAATGTCGGAATAACAGTTAAATAAACTTAGGCACACAAGCACCAACACACTAACAGTTCCAAACACATACACACTTAAATGCACGTAGTTAGAAACAAACAAAACGGTACAGGAGGATGAGGAGTAGGAACAAACCAAAAAGGATGACCACTGACCACGGAGAGAAACCGCGAGAGGATTAAAACAAGGGGTAGGACGAGGTCCAGGACAACAACAACGATGAGGAGGGCTACAAGGAGGCAGGAAAAGGAAAACTAGGAATAGGAATAGGAAAACTACGAAGTAGGAGGAACGAGAAGAGGAGGAGGGCGCCTCCCCTGCCGCCCCCGCCGCCCCTGGCGGGCTTCGTGGTCGGCGGAGGCGCGCTGGCCCCGCTGGCCGCCGCCGCCGCCGCCGCCGTCGGAATCGTCATCGTCGCGGTGTCGTCCGCACTTCTTCCCGCTCTCTGCTCTCTCCTCCTGCCCCCCTGCCCCTCCTCCTCCCTTCTCCCTTGTCCTACCGCTCCTGCTCCTCAACATCCTCCTCCGTCTCCTTTCCTCTTCCCTCCTCCCCCTCATCTCTCTCTCTCTCTCTCTCTCTCTCTCTCTCCGCCTTCTTCCACTCGCGTTGCTGTGGTATGTTTCTGCTGCCATACCTTCGTCTATGGACCCCGTTCCACTTCCCGAGTCCCCTGTCCTCCCGTTGCTCCCCCCTCCGCCTTCTCGTCCTGCTCCGTTTCCTCCTCTTCGTCCTATCCCTCCTCGTCCTCGCTTCTTGTCGGGGTGATCGTCGTCGGCATCGTCGCCCCCCTTCCTGCATAATAGAACGGGTGTGGGGCTGTAGTTTCACAGCGTAGGGATTGGAGGGCAGGCGGACCGCGCGGGATGATGATGACGACAGCCCCCCGACGCGACACACAGAAAACCGAGAGCCACAATTTGAAAACGAACCGCCAGTGCATGATATACACGTGTAACCGCTTGCACGACCGATGTTCAACGATGCACAACGCTTGCGTTTAAACCGAAGGACGCAAAACCGAACACACAAGCAAAGCGTGCATATTTGCTTCGGATTGCAACGGAACTTGCAGAAAAATCAGCGCTTGCGAAAAAATCCTTAGAAAAATAAGCTCTTGCGAAAAAATCCTTAGAAACATCAGCTCTTGCGGCCCCTTTCCTTATCCACGCCTTGAATTGTAGCCACTTCCTGGTCTTTCGGCACCTAACCATCAGGAGGTGCAGAAGGCGGCATGAGCACACAGGCTCTCGGAGGTCCCGCGCGGAGCTCCGAGAGCTGTTTGCGGTCGGGAGCGTGCGGGTTGCGGCCGGGGGTGAATTCGGGTGCGGCGTGCCGCTCTCCGCCGGGACTGGTCCACCATGCCCCTCGGAGCCCCCAGGCTGCAGCGCCCCGAGACTGCCCGAGCCTCCTGCCCCTGGAGCCCAGACCCCCTCGGGTCATAAAGAAGTCACGACGGGAGGTGTTTCGCCCTTTTCGGCCTCTGGGGGCCCTCACCGGGCCTCGGGACCGTCAACAAAACGACTGTAAGGATGAAGAGCCGGTCCCGGGGAATGGGTTGGGGCCATGGGGATCGCGTCATGAAAAAATCATGACGTCGGGGGTCTGGGAGCGGAGCGACACGCTGTCCGCTTGCAAGGCATACAGATGGGGCCCTGAAGAAGGAACCCTTCTCGTTGGGGAGGGGCTCCGTGTTCCTTAATTGTTTCGCAGCTTGCCTTGGATTTTCTTTCGGTTTTCGATACGAAAGCGAAGTTCAACTCATGGACAATAGGGGCCTCGCTCCTTATCTATAGGGTTCCTTAGGTCAACGCCTCGACTGTATACTGTGCCGCCGGGGCCGCCGCCGGGACAGGCTACTTGCGCAGAGGCTCGGGGCGGCGCCCCTGGAAGTCTTCGACCCTCGCCCTGGGGCCCCTTCGTCCTCCCGGGTCCGGTTTTTGTCGACGCGCCCGAGGCCCGGGAAGAGGCCCCCCTGAGAGAGGCCGAAGACGCAGACCCCCTCGGGGCATGAAAAGATCACGACGGGAGGTTTTTCGCTATTCTCGGCCTCTGGGGGCTCTCACCGGGCCTCGGGACCGTCAACAAAACGACTCGGGATGAAGAACCGGTTCCAGCGAATGGGTCGGGTACCTCTGGGGATCGCGTCATGAAAAAATCATGACGTCGGGGATCTGGGGACGGGGAAGAACCTCCCGTCGTGATTTTTGTCATGACCCGAGGGGGTCTGGGCATGCAGCAGCTCTTGACCGCGTGCTCCCGCCGTCGTTTGTCCTCCGAGCGTCGGCGGCGCTGCCGGAGGGGGCGGTGGTCCACGCCTTTGCCGGCAGCCTGCTTCGCCGGGAGCCTGGGCGGAGCGCGCTGCAGGCGGAGCTGGCCGTGTTCGTCGAGGGGGACTCGGGAGGGGAAAAAGCACACAGGCACAATGAATCGTCGATTCCCCAGAAAATACTAGGAACTATGGGAAGGGTGGGGGAAGACAACAAAACCCAGAAAAGATGGGGAATCCTGTCATTTGTGTGTCCCAGGGCCTCTTCAGGGACCTGGGGAAGCCAAAAGGTACCGATGCCGCTGCCCCCCCCGAGCCTCTCCCGAGGTGCGTGCTGGCCGGGATTTCGAGGCGAGTCCAGCGGTGGCGACGAGGGCCTCCCGCCTCCCAGGAGTCAGGAGGGAAAAAAACACACAGACACAATTAATCGTCGACTCCCAGGAAAACATGGGAAAATATGGGAAGCGGGGGGGAAGAAAATATGGGAAGCTATGGGGGATCGTTATATTTGTGTGTATTTATTTGCGTGTGTCCCTGGGCCCCTTGAAGGAGGCCCAGGGGGGGGAGAACGGGCGAGGGGGTAGACCCAGACGTGCGGCGTCCTGACTGTTTCAGTGCGGCGTCCCCGGGCGTCCCGACCCCTTCCCCGGGCACCGGTCTTGCCGCCCGGGTCGCTCTCGTGGACGGCCCCGGGGCCCGGCGAAGGCCTCCCGAGGCCGAGCAGCACGGAGGCCTTGCCGCGGCCTGATGTTGCCACGGCGCGCTCACGTGAGGCGAGAGGCACGGGTACACCTTTATTGTCCTCCTCCGAGGACGTGGAGGACCAGCGGGCGCTGCTGGAGGCCGGCCAGGGCTGGACCTGAACGCTGTTTTGTTGGACTTCGGCTGTGTTTTGTTCTTCCGTTTTGGCAGGGGGGTCACGGGAGAACAGGTCGAGCAAAACGAACATCAAAACGAAAACAACACAAAAAACAACGTTGAGGTCCAGCCCTTAGGCCGACGGGCGGTACCACGCGAACTGCTTCTCGGCCGCGGCGGGCCTGTTCTGGCGCGCGCAGTGCGCGCCGCGCGAAAGGGGGGGATACGGAAAGGGGGAGGGGTACGACATCTGCTGCGTGCGGCTGGTTTCAGCCCCACCGAGGGGCCCATTCCTCGATGCATGGCCGCCTCCGGCGCCGGGAGGCGCCGGGACAATCAGCTATACTCGCGGGCGGATAGACCTCCTACCCTGACACGTCGATTAGCGAATTGGCCGTTTTCGGTTCGCGAGAGGCCGTCGCGGCCGTCATTCTTGCGGGTCCGGGTCCGTCGGTTTCGGTCCCAGGCCGTTCTCACGAAACGGAGGTTTACTTCAAAGGGAGGTGTGTCCACCGCCGATCTACGCGAGCTGGTTCTCAAGCCCCCCCCTTTGCTATCCCCCCCTGTCGCCCGGCGCGCGCAGTGCGTGTGGCCCACGGTCTCGGGCGGGGTCGCCCGCTCCCGCGCCGCGGTCTTCGCGATGACCGGGCAGACGCTGCGCGTGCGGCGCCGCCGGGGCGGGCGGCAACGCCGAGTCTGGCGTGTCCCCCCTCTACAGTATATGTAAGTCGGGCCTGTCCTCCTACAGAGAGAATATTCAACAGTAGTAAGAAGATTGTCTGGGGACTATGTCTTGAGCATTGTTGAGCATTCTTATTGCATTTTTGGGGTATGTTTGATTCTTCGTCCAAAATCGGCCTGCAGGGGGACAGGCCCGACTTAACATTCTATGATGTTCCAACCTACTTTAGCCTGGATCCCATGTCGAGCACCGGAAATGAGCAGAAGCTCGAGGGTTTCCACGTGCCGGGCCCTGGGAGGCACTCGTCCGACACTGTTTCGACACTGTTTCGACACACTTTTCTGGGCGCTCGAAATCATGTCTGGGGTGTGGACTTTCAGTACGATGGGAGCAACAGAACTAACTGTACAGGGGGGATATTCAAAAATAGTTATAACAAAATGCTCTCGGTACGATTTGTTGATTATTTGGGGCTTTTTTTGAACGTTTTTGGAGCATGTTTTCAAAATTTGTCGTCCAAAAGCCTCCTGTAAGGGGGACATGCCCGACCTGACGGTAACGGGGGGGGGGGGCCGCATTGGGGGGGAAGAAACCCGAACTCGGTCGCGTCGTAGCAAAAGTCGGGACGGGAGGTTGTTGCTGTAGTTTTCGGCCTCGGCGGGCCCTCCCCAGGCCTCGGGAGCGTCAAGAGACGGCTCAGGATGAAGAACCGGTCCCAGGGAAAGGGTCGGGACATCCAGGGACGCCGCCCCGAAAGAATCAGGACGTCGCATGTGTGGGAATGGGGGGGGTGAACCACATGAGAGGTGAAGAAAAGGGCTCTAAAGGGGCCTTTTAGGGCCCCTTTTTGGAGCCAGTGGGTGTCAAAGGGGGCCCTCAATGTCCCCTTGCGGACCTTGTTCTTCACCCCACACTTGGGGCACCCGCCCATAGTACAGGTTTGCGTGTAGTCCATACGTACATACAGTCGCAATCCATACGCAGTCCATTCGCAGTGCATGATCATATGCATGCCTGCGTATAGTCCACACATACCCATGCTTCATTTCTGATTATTCAAGAGTTCTTTGATTTTTTGGGGGCAAAGATCCTTTCATCTCTAATTGCTCTATTCTGGGCCTCTTTCTGGCCACTATAGTGGGCCAGGAACAATCTGAAACGAGCACAGTTAGAAGTGAGCGCGATGAGAAATGAACGAAGTGTACAGGTTCCCAGACCCCCGACGTAATGATTTTTTCATGACGCAATCCCCAGAGGTCCCGACCCATTCCCCGGGACCGGCTCTTCATCCTGAGTCGTTTTTTGACGGTCCCGAGGCCAGCGAGGGCCCCCAGAGGCCGAAAATAGCGAAAAACCTCCCGTCGTGATTGATTCCCAACCATCCTGTGGTGTTGGGTCCTCGTTTTGAAGAGACGGTGCCCCGCGTTCCTCTCCTCTCCTCTCTCCTCTCCTCCTCTTCCCCCTCCTCCCTCGTGCCCGCGCCCGCATGCGTCAGCCACACCCATTTCGGCACACCCTTCACACGCTTCGTGGCTCCATAGGGAGCTCCACCGAAGGCCCCAGTGCCCGCGCCCGCATGCGACACCCACACCCATTTCGGCACACCCCTCACACGCTTCGTGGCTCCATAGGGAGCTCCACCGAAGGCCCCAGTGCCCGCGCCCGCATGCGTCCCGCACACCCATTTCGGCACCCCTCACACGTTTCGCCCCAGGGAGCTCCGCCGAAGGCCCCAGTGCCCGCGCCCGCATACGTCAGCCACACCCATTTCGGCACGCCCCTCACGCGTTCCGTGGCCCCATAGGGAGCTCCGCCGAAGGTCCCAGTGGGTGTGCCCGCATGCGTCCCGCACACCCATTTCGGCACACCCCTCACACGTTTCGTGGCCCCATAGGGAGCTCCACCGAAGGCCCCAGTGGGTGTGCCCGCATGCGTCCCGCACACCCATTTCGGCACACCCCTCGTACGTTTCGTGGCCCCGTAGGGGGCTCCACCGAGAAGATATTCACAATTGCAGTATTCACACTTGCATATGGTTGGGTCCTTCGCCAGGATAATTTTTTCGTGACCCGAGGGGGTCTGGGTTTCAGGAGGCCACGGCCTACCCCACCAGGTCTCGAGCAGGCCCAGACAGCTGTCCGTAGTGGTGGTTCGTTCGCGCGCTCGTTCGTCGGGAGGAGGAGGAGGAGGAGGAGGAGGACGAGGAGGAGGACCAGGAGGAGGAGGAGGAGGAGGAGGAGGAGGAGGAGGAGGAGGAGAAGAAGGAGGAGGACGAGGACAAGGACGAGGACGAGGACGAGGACGAGGACGATCTTTACCGCGGCGTCACACCCCACTGCCGCCCTGCCCGAGGTGTGCCGTGCCGCCCGACGCGGCGTGCTCAGCCTCGCCCAGGCCGGCGTCCGTGCGCGAGTTGGGCGCCGCCTTCGCGCTGGACGTGGAGGGCCAGGCCGAAGGATCGGGGAAACGTAGGATCAAGGCCATGTCCCTCTAAAGGGGGGAAATCAAAAAATAGTCCAAAGATAGTCTGGGGGCTATTTTTTGATTATTGTTGGGCATCTTTTGAGCATGTTGGGGGTCTTTTTCATGTTTTTCGTCCAAGATCCCCCTGTAGGGGGACACGCCCGACTTAAACGCAGGACTCGAGTAAGCCGGAACTCGGCTTTGCAGGTGTTTTTTGGCGAGCGCGTCCGTGATCTGGCTGGTCCAGTTTTCGTGGGACGTCTGCAGCGGGAGCTCGCGTGAAGTATGAGATCGTGTCTCGTCATTTGTGATGGTGGCCCCGTCAGGCCAAGCCGAGTCTCCCGCACCCGAGTCTGACGTCTCCCCGAAAGAAGAACAAAACGCCACAAATATAGTCTTTCGGCGCTCCGCGCGGAGTTCCCAGATCCGCGCTGCCCCCCCCCCCCCGGCGGCGCCTTCGGCGCCGCCCTGGCGCGCTCCGCGCGCCCCGGGCTGGGGGTCCGGCGCAGGTCTAAGAAATCCGCGCGGAGCGCCAACAGTTTATGTCTGTGGCTTTTTTGCGTTTTCCGGCCAGGCCTCCTTGCGCGTCAGGCTCTCCGCCCGCTCGCGTGGGCGGCCGGGCGGCCGCGGCGCGGGCCCGCGGGTCGCTATTTGCGTGGGGGTCAGGTTCAAGGCGGACGACATAGCCACGGAGTACCCGGACGCCCTCGTCGACTGGCTGCAGTACCACTACCGGGCCGGCGTGGGCAGATTCTACCTCTACGATACCGACGGGTCCTTGAGTAAGCATCTCCCGAGCTGGATGGTCGCCGCGGGCGGGAAACATGTCCACGTCTTTGGATCTCGCCTTCTGGACGCATCGGCCGCGACCGCAGGGATAGCAAGTGTTTCTTTCCCCTGGATTCCCAGACATGCGACATCCTGATTGTTTCAGCACGGCGTCCCTGGAAGTCCCGACCCTTTCCCTGGGACCGGTTTTTCACGCTCCCGAGGCCCGGCGAGGGCCTCCCGAGGCCGAAAACTAGCAAAAACCTTCCGTCCCGACTTCTGTTACGACGCGATCATGTCTGGGGTGATAACGTGCCAAGCACGCACGTCACGAGTCGCGCCGGCGCCGTCTTTGGGAGTGTTCAAGAATGGCTTACTTTCCAGACGGCGCCGGCGCGAATAGTGGCTCAACGAGGGGGGGAGAGCTGTGTGTTTTTGAAGCAAGATCGGGCTTAACAAAAATGGCGTGTTTGAGGCCGGATACGACTTCCAAAACACGTGCTTCTTACAAGCCGGATCCGGCTTCAAAAACACATTGTTTTTTGAGCCGGATCCGGCTTCAAAAACACGCAGTTCTCTCGGGGACCAGTCACGTGCGTTATCGCGAGCAAGAAAATCGAGCGTACAGGGTGGTTTGGCGCGGCTGCCCCACGCGGACCGTACACGTGGGACCACGTATCCATGGGATCGCGGTTCGGTGTCCAGACCGCGAGCGCCTGGATATGGACATGTGCGTCGCCCACGAGGTCAGGGCCGGCATTATCGCGTATCACCCGAAGTTCCCCGCGCGGTTTGGCCGCATGGCCGACCTGTCCTCGCAGGGTTGGCCCCAGTGCACCGAGGTTCTCGCGTACGACCACTGCCTGTACCACAACATGGGCGACGCAGAGACACGGGTTCCATTGCGCGGCCATTCGGGCGCAAGTTGTCCGCGTAAGATCGCGCGTGAGCGTCCTCGTTCCCATTCTGGCGTGACGCGTTGGCGTCCCGCGCAAGCCTCGGCGCAGGGTCGCTAGGTCATCTTGCGTAAGGCTCTTTTCTCTTCGTCGCTCGCATGGGCGAGGCAGATTGGATCCACGTCCTCCACAGCTTCGACGTCTACACGTTCGTGCCCGATTGGGCCTCCCTCCAGTCCCCCGCGCCGCTGGCCGGGCTGTTCGAGCCCAGCAACGTCCACCGTTCCGCGCCTATCATCCCGCGGGTGCTGGAACGGATCGGGCAGCGCGCGGCGAACTCCACTGGGCGGCCCGTGTGTGGCATCTTCATCCGGCAGCTCGACTTCGGGGGCCCGCGCGAGCCGAGCTCGCACCTGGCGAGGTCGTTCTCCTTCCTGGAGGGCTTTCAGAAGAACACACGTCAGCACAACTAAGCCTTTCGGACGCCCAACGTTTGCGCGGGCGCCTGCGAAAATTAGAGCAGGACGCCACATTGGTCTAGGCCTCCTAGATGGGGTCGCAGCTGATGGGGTCAGCGGATCGCGCCACATCGCCGATGCATCGCCGATGCGGTTCGATGCGGAGCCCGATTTTCGCAACGCGGACGTCGCCGCTGCACTGCCGACGTCGCCGGTGCATCGTCGATGTGTGGCCGAGGCGTCGGCGGTACATCGGCTGACTACACGTACGAGTGACCTTTCGCCGGAGTGACCTTTGGTGCGGGCCCACTGCGCTTCCTCGATTGCCGAACGCGATGCGACATCAGCTTGTGTTTGGTCCCCCGCGGCCCCCAAAAAGCCGCGCACCAAAGGTCGCTTTTATCCAGGGTAGCTCTTGCGCGTCGTCGAACCGGCGATCCGGTGCCATCCTCCGACCACCCTGCTCGGACCCCGCGTGGGAGGCCTGCCAGATGGGTTGGCCGGCACTTTCAGGGAGAGCGCGCGGACCTCGGCGGGGCCCTGGGCCCAGGCCCTCGTCCTCCGCGCGTTCCCTCCGCCGCTCTCCAGGCGCCGCCGCGGTCCGCCGCGGGTGAGCACTGACAGTCGAGACCCATAACATCCTGCTTGCCTCCAGGGTTTCTTGGGTT